CTGACCTTATCAGATACATAAGTTACATTTCTTGTTATATAGGTCTTGCTATATCTTGGTTTTAACCATCCAGCAGAAAAGTATAAAAATGAGGTATATAAAGTAAAGCCATATTAATACGATGAGCTGTAAAAGGTTCAAGTCAATAACTTCTGAGAATAACCCACTCATATTATAGACTGCTAGACAGTGTTAGATTGTTTAGCTGAATTCAAACACCTATAATATGTAGATGCCAATAGAATATCCACCTCTGACAAGACAAAAAAAAAAAGGATACAAAGAAACATCATTTTGTATTTATATATACAAAATAGGATAAATATATAGCTTTTGCTTAATGCAATGATAAGAAAGAGGTGTACTAATAGTGTTTGGACAGGATATCCTGACTGCTTCTTATACTATGGATAACCACTAAGAAGATAACAATGTACAATGTATTGATTATCGAAACTGTCTTATTAATCAGCTGTGAAACTATCTCATTCATATTTATTTCTCAAAAAAGTAAGTAAATAAATAAAAAAGTTTTTTGAAGACAGCTCTAGTGGCACACAACTATAATCCCAGCACTCTGGGAAGATGAGACTGGAGAGTTACAACAAATATAAGCCCAGCATGTGCACTTAATGACTCCTTATATAAAAAATAAAGAGAGCTGAGGGTATGGCTCAGTGTGAAGACTCTGGGTTCAATCTCTAGTACTTGCCTCCCAGTATTTTTTTTTAATTTATTGTTTTAGTACAGGGTCTCTTTCTTTTTAAATTTTTATGTATTTGGTCCAGGGTCTCACTACGCAGGTCACATTCTTAGTGGTCTTCCTGTTTTCAGCTTCCCCAGCATGATTACAAGTATGCGCCACCATGCCCTGTCTTGGATTGAACATGGGTCCTTGTGCTTGCCAGCCAGGCACTTAGACCACTGAGCTATCTCCACAGTCCCCGGTATTTGTTATTGGATCTACAGCATAAAAAAAAAAAAAAAAAAAAGTTTGTAAATGTTATTTAGCAATATTTGAAGCAGAATATTTCAGTTGGACATTTGTAGTCATCCTCTTGCAGTCACTGGGGCACAGGTCTAGAGTTTGTGATTAATTCACAGTCCAAAACTGGGATTATGGATCTGAGTATTGCTGGATTATGGTGTAAGTGCTACACCCAGCCTGGGACTGATAGCCTGGAGGCAGTATAAGGAAAGACGAGAGGCTTGCTCTCTGCCTCTGCTGCTCCACCCCAGCTCCTCGCTTTTGACTCTTGATGTTTTGCACTGCCATGAGCTGCTTGCTGCCCTCTTCCATGTGCCACTCTGCTTTAGAGCCACCTGAGTGTGGACTGGAACCTCCACTAACTGTGGGCTAAATAAACCTTTCCTTCCTTCATTTTGGGTGTCAGGTATTTTGTCCCAGCAACAGAAAAAAATAACTGAGACAGACATGTTGGTAAATATCTGACACAGATAAAAGCAGAAGGATCATGAGTTTGAGTCCAGCTTAGTTAACTTAATGAAACTTTATCTCAATAAAGTAAAAAATCTTCCAAGGCCAAGTGAGGTTCAGTACATATTACAGGATTGAATAATTGCATACTTCAGATAGTCTCTGACTTATGATGGTTCAATTTAAATATTTTGACACATATTCCCCCACTATCACCTTCATTCTGAGGATGGAATCCACTTACTTTCTGGGTAAGTGCGCTGCCACTGATCGTTAGCCCCTGCCTTTGTTCCTTATTTTGATTTTTTGTTTTGTTTTTGTTTGGAAGCCGAGCCTCACTCTGTTGTTCAGTCTTCAGCTGCTGTGCCCAGATGATCCTTTTGCCTCAACCTCCAAGTGCCAGGATTACAGGTGTACACCTTACACCTGCTCTATTGTGACATTTATATTTTCTTTAGGTACTGGAGATTGAATCCAGGGTCTTTGCACATCTCCATCTCGTTTTTCACTTTTTATTCTGAGACAAGGTCTCTCTAAGGTGTCCAGGCTAGACTCACACTTGTGATCCTCATGCCTGCGTCTTCTCGAGTGTTGATTGCTATCATGTGCCATCGTGCCTGACTTGGCTTGACTTTTAATGATGTGAAGTGAGGCATTCAGTAAAAACTGTACTTCAGAATTTGAACTTTGGTGTATTCCTGTTAAGATGAAAAAAGCTAGAATATAAACAGCAGTGACAGTAAACCTCAGCTCCCAGCCAGCCATGTAGTCATGAATGTAAAATATGTTGCTAAGCTCTGATGTTCAGTAAGTTGTGTGTGTTAAATACCTTTTGAGGGGCTCAGGGTGTAACAGTGTAGAGTGTCTTTAACCTGCATGGATTTGATCTCTTACATCAAAAACCTAAATTCCTACTGTATTTTCAACATATAGTGGGTTTATTGATATCTAACCAAATCATAAGTAGAGGACTCTTTGGTATACCCGATACTTCAGGAAAGAATAATAACAGTAGTTCAGCCTTGTTGAGTACTTATTATACCCTAGACTATTCTCCTGGCTGCTTTTCCTATATTATTAATTCATTGAATCAAGCCAGCCGATGAGAAATAACTTCTCTCTTTTATAAAAGAGGAAACTAAGACATGGAGACATTGAATGCTTGCCCAGGGTCACATAGTTGATGTGTAATAGAGGTAGGTCTTGAACCCTGGCAACAGGTAGTAGGTCTTGAACCCTGACAACAGGTAGTAGGTCCCACAGGCTCTTAACATGTTACACAGGCTCTTATCTCCTGTAGCTATATAGTCATCTCAGTAGCTACCTGAAAGCGTTTGAGTATAGTTCAAGATCAACTCCTGGTGGGTGGTGATGGGAAGGGGGAGTGGAGTAGAGGTGGTTGAACTTTAATAAAGAGTAATAAATGTATTTTATGCTTGAAAGTTCATTATGAGATCCTTAGTGGTTGATCAGTAGTACTAAAAAAATGGAATCTATGTTTAGTGGGAAAGTATTTTGTAGTAGTGAGGGCAATGGAAGCTATGTTAATCTTGAATCTAGTATGTAGTTTGGGATTTTCTTTAACTTGGATTACAGATTAAACCTAGGAGTCCCCTACCACTGAGCCACATCCCTAGCTACCCACGCATTTTTGTTTTCTAAAACAAGGGTCTCACTAAATTGCCCAGGCTGGCCATGAGTTTATGGCCCTCTTGCCTCAGTCTCCTGAGTAATTGGGATTATAGACATGTACCATATGCTCTGCTATATTTGGAGTTTTACAGCATAATTTGTAGCAGATAACATGTGTTATGGTTGTGTCTCGATGTTTCCCAAAGCCTTATGCATGTGGGAGTGCTTTTTGAAGGTGGCTGAATCTAGAGTTTGTGATTAATTCATTGTCTAATGCTGGGATTATGGGTGTGGGTACTACACCCACCCTAGGGTGAGCATCCCACATACAGTATACAGGAGGTAAGGAGGCTTGCTCCTTTGCTCCTCTGTTGCTGTTGGCATTTTCTGCTTCCATAAACAGTTGTCCGTCTGCCACAGCACCCTGCTTTAGAGCCTGCTGATTATGAACTGAAACCACCACAGACTGAGAGCTAAATAAACCTTTCTTGCCATCATTTTGGGTTTCAGATATCTTGTCTCACCAAGGAGAGAAAAGTAAGACAAAATGAGATGACAAACCTAGGTGTGATGATGTACATGTGTAATCCCAGCACTTAGACGGCTAAGGCAGGAGGATTGCAGTGAGTTTGGGGCCTGCTTTGGCTCCATAGTGGATTCAAGACCAATTTGAACTCCAAAGTGAGACCCTATACCAACAATCTAGGTGTTTTGAAGGAGGCTGAGACAGGATTGCCATAAGTTTGAGGCATGCCTGGGCTAATAGCAAAATCCTGTCTTAAAAAAAAAA